CCCGGCCGCCTGTTGTCCCCGCGCCGCCGCCCACGCCACGGTCACCAGCGCGGGGCCCCCTCGGCGGCGGCGGCGGTGGCGCGGCGCCTGCGGGCCTCGGTACCTCTGCGCCTGGCCGTGGTCACTCCTGAGATGGGGACGCGGGGGAAGGGGGCGGGCTGAGCCGCGCCCCTCTGCGCACAGTCAGCCCGACACCCACACAGCGGTAGGCGGGGCAGGGCGGTGAGGAGGCCGGCGCCCCAGCCAGAGAAGAGGAGGACAGACAAACCGACGGGAGCGGAGAACGGACGTAGAGACACAAGCAGAGCGGAGTGGACCAACCACATGTCAGGGAAGGACAGCCAGATAGGTTAGACAGAGGCAAGACTGGGCACTTGGGCAGGGGGACCAGGTCAGGGCAATGAGCAAAGGGCAGAATGGCAGGTGGGGGTGGCAGGCGGGGCGCAGCAGGCAGGGGCTCCTGTTCCTAGTTACAGGTGAGTTCTGGGATGCCAGAGGTCACCTAGTCCTGGCTGAAGCCTCCCACTGAGTGATCAGCAGGCCTGTTTCTTTCACCCTTGCTCACCCTGTGCCCTCCGCCTTGTTCGGCCCTGGCAGATGTAGGCCTGCACTCGGGTGATGCCTGGCTTAGGGAAGGGACCTGATTTCCAGCACCTGCTCTGCCCAGACCCTACTTTGGGGCCTTGGACAAATCCCCTCCCGTTCTCCGGGGCTTCCCCTTTTTTCACTACTGGAGAGACCCCACTGAGTATACCCTTACTACTTTGGGATGCTGTGTAATTACTTGTCTGGGAACCACATGAGGGCAGTTTCCGGGTGGGGCCACAGGGGTCTGACTGGCACTCGGTAAATTTGATAAATGGGTGCACTACACCGTTACCTATTTCTCCTATCTTCCCTTTCCCAATTTATTGATAAGTGAAATGGTGTTTAAAGACATAAGGGGACTCAAGGCCAGGTTTCAAAAGCTACCTGAAAGTGGTTCTCAAAAGTCAAACATGATGACTAAGAATAGAGCATGTTGATGAGAAACCTCTGGAAAGCAGAGAAGCCCTGGGGCTGGTGTGGAAGGGAAGTGAGAGTCCTGCAGGGAGGGTGGGGCAGAGTAGGTTCTGTGGTGGAGACAAACCTCATTCTACCCAGCTCTGCCAGGGACCTTGGGTCAGGAAGGGGCAGCTGTGTGATCGGGGCCTTGGTGGATGAGGACGGGAGGAAAGATAGTCTCTTTAATAAATGGTGCTGGAGAAATTGGGTTTCAACTTGTCAAAGACTTCAGCCTCCTTGCCAACTGTTCATTCTGGGATCTGCCTCTTGCTTTGTTGCCTTCCCCCTCCCAGGATTCAGACTGGTGCATCCCAGCTCATCTTTGGCTGTCATGGGCACATCTGCAAGGTAGAGGTGATGGAGCTAGAATGGAGAAAAACTTCTGTCAGGGTCCTGAGAAAGGGGACCTAATAGGCCTTTTGTCTTACCCCCTCCATTTATTTTGTAGATGAACAAATGAAAGACCAGAGAAAAGAGGAGACAGGGCAGGGCCAGAGAGCAAGAACTGGAGGCTCTTAAGACTCCCAGGCTAAAACTATGTACAAAGGATGACCTTGGTCTCCCTAAGCAGACATTCGCTGGTCCTTATGTGTAGGGTGGATGTTGTAGTTGTTCAGTGGTTTTACCTGTAAGCCATCCTTGTTGGCAAGACTGCCTATGTATGTTTTGTTGCAGTGGTGGTGTGGAGTGAATCACTTTGAGTGAGTCTTTTGTAGAAGGCTTCAGCACTTAAGAGCTCATTTCCCTCCATCTTCCACTTGAACATCACTGGTCTGGCAGATCCAGTTGGTTCCTCAGACCTGGAACTGGTTTCCATCAGGCCTGGTAGTGCTAGATCTGGCTTTAGGGAGTTGGATTATGCCTGCTTGCCTACCTATCTGTCCACCTATCCATCTATCTGTACCTATCATCTACCCACAAATACATATTAGTAGAGGATACTTGGAAAACACTAAAAGGAGGAAGGAGAAAATGAAAACCAGCCACTGTTAATATTGATCTTTCTTTTAAAAATTTCTTCTTAGTTATGTAACTCTATAAATATCCTTAAATGAATTGAGCTTGCTGACTAGGACATCGCCACATCTCCCCTATGTCCTACTTAGGATGGCTGCCTAGCATTGTATGGCCCTGATACCTCCAATAAATAGTTTATTTAACCAATCCTCTATTGATGGACATTTAGTTTGTCTGTTTTCCACACTGCAGTGGAAATCCTCATGGTAAATTTGTACATGGCCATGATTATTCTTTATGTCAATGGGTATACCCATATATCTTTGAGGTGTTCTGTATGGGTTCAGATTTACAGGAAGGGCATCTTTTGGGTACCAGAAAAGCATACAGGTTGTAGTGTCTGTCTGGCCAAGGGTCAAGTGGGGAGGCTGGAGAGTGGAGCTTTTGGGAAATCATATGGTGATACTGTGGTTTGAATGTGTTCCTCAAAGTTCATGCACTAGAAAGTCAGTCGCCAATGCAGCAGTACTGAGAGGGGATCAGGTCATCATGAGGATTCTGCTCTTATAGGTGGATTAATGCCATTATTGAGGGAGTAGTTATTGCTAGAGTGTGTTTCTTACCAAAAGATGAATTTAGCTCCCTTCTCTCCATGTCTCAAACCCATGCCTGGAGTGCCTTGTGCCATGTTGTGATGCAGCAACAAAGCCCTCACTAGGCACCAAAAGACTTAAAAATAGGCCAAAAAGATTACCAGATTTCCTTTTAGGTTAATATTAGGTGCCATCTGTTTTTATAGGGTTTGAACCTGTCATGATCTCTGAGCTACTATACCATTCTAGAGGTCCTAGAAATCTAGTCATCTTGCAGACATTTCTTGTCCACTGAGATCCGAGTGAAGTGAGGCAGGTGAGGTCAGTTGATATCTCATGTGGAGGATGGGATCCCAGCTGCACATGTGTACATGCTCCGTGGATTCCCCAAGAATTGTGTATAACCTCTTAATGGTTCCCTCATCGGTGAGTTAAAGTCTTTGACGTGTGTTCGTTTTATATTAGTATGACATTCATGATTTTAGACTTTAGTAAGCTTGGAATTTCATTTGGATGGGTCTGCCTTACTCCAGAGTTTGGTCTTTTGTTGGTGGTATTAGGGCCATGAGCCCTTAGAAAAGAGGGAGATTAGTTCCAAGGACTTTCTGGGGGCATTGAGGGATACAGAGGATTTGCAGCCTGAAATCTGAGAATGAAGAACTGGGTGACACAAACAATGCTGGAAAAATCTGAGTAATACAAGTAACACTATTTCACAGGGTTCTTGTGAGGATTGAGTGATATAATCTGGTTAAAATGTTTAGTACAGTTCTTGACACCTAGTAAAGTCTCTCTCAAATGTTCCTATGCAAATGTTGAATGAGAGCAAAGAAAAGAATCTTTCTTATGGCTTTTCCATTTATTTTTTACTCCCATGGCCACAGGACTGAAATATTTTTGGTTATAAAAAATAGGTTTCAGTGTTCAGAATCATGTCAGCTGCCAGACTGACAAGTTGTCAGAGACTGCAGTTGAGTCTAATTTAAAAATTTAGAAAAATTATATTGGCATCCTCGAAAGTTCAGCACTTAATTTAGAGTTAACTCAGATAAAAAATACCACGTACAACCCATAATCCTCTTTATTTTCCTGACCAAGAATGAACGGACCTGTTTGCAGACACGAGGATCACATGATTGGATGTTCAACAGCAATGTGAATGATCATATTACAACTACAAGCAAAGATAAGGACAACTCACAAACACAGAGTGGAGTGAAAAATGCTGTTTCCATTTATACAAAGTTCCAAAGCCGGGAGAGCCAATCCTTGGTCTTGGAAGTCAGGGCAGTGTTTACACTGGGGGCAGTGGGGACAAGGTTCAGGTGTGCTGGCAGTGTTGCTCCCTATCTGGGTGTCAGCACACACGCATGTGCATATGATTCGTGCAAACCTCTGAACAGCACACTTGTGCACTTTGATGTATGTATGCTGCACTTTAATAATAATAAAAAAGGACGTGCCATCTTTATGCGTGTGCCCTGCTGAGGCAGGAGTGTTGGGCTCCGGAGGAGTTTGGGATTCCAAACAGAAGGGCAGAGGGAAAGGAACTAATATTTATTCAGTCCGTGGGAGAACTTTCTTTTTAGGCTCAGGAACAAACATAGTTTCAGTTCTTCTGAAATGAACAACAGTGTTCTTTTTCTTTTTGTTTATTTTTAAATATCTCTGGAATACTGTGAGTCTTGCACAGAGTGCTCCCTTCTGCACCTGTGGCAAGGGTGGCGCTGGTCTTTCAGCAACATCCTGGGCTTTGTGTTTCCTTTCCTTAATTTTCCTTCTGCCAGTACACTCATTTACCCCCCAAAATTGTAATGGTTATGTTTCCTTTGTCTACGTTTATTGCCTTATTAAAAACAATTCGGGTATGCGTATGGATCTATAGGGAACAGGGGAAGGGAACGTTACCAGAACCTCTGCAGTAAGTCTTTAGTCTCCTGTGAGCCACAGCAGCACACGAATTACAGGAAAGGGAGAAAAATGAGACTGAGAAGAAGCTGAGCTTTGGGTCTGATCAGTGCTGCTCTGGGCAGCAAAGACAAAGACCCTCTAGCTTGCAGCACCTTTTACTCAGTACATGGGAAACAGATGTAACAAGTGAAATGCAGAGTTCAGTACTCACATT